CGTACTGTGCTCGAGATACATAAGGGTAAAAAGTTATATGAAAAACTATCAAAGTGTGAGTTTTGGCTGTCAGAAGTTGTTTTTCTTGGTCATGTCGTCTCTGAAAAAGGCATAAGAGCTAAAAAAAGAAAAAAAGAAAAAAAAAGAACAGAAAAAACGAAAAAATGAAAAAAATATGAGAGATGCTTAAAAAAATATTTCACTTGTGAAAAAGGTGAGACTAAAGACTTTGAAGTCAAGTCTGATGGGTGTCTATTTTATAGAGGAAGAATTTGTATTCCTCATAATGATGAGTTGAAGAAAGATATTCTTTCTGAGCCACATTATAGTCCACTAACTATACATCTAGGTAGGAACAAAATGTATCAGGATGTAAAGAGTCATTTTGGTGGCCGGTTATGAAAAGAAACATTATTGAGTTTGTTGCTAGATGTTTGACGTGTCAGCAAGTTAAAGCTGTACATTAAGTTCATTCAGGATTGTTGCAATCAATCTCTATTCTCCAGTGGAAAAGGGAGAATGTGATGATGGACTTTATGATGGGGTTACCTCTAACTCCGAATAAAAGAGATTCGATTTGGGTGATAGTTGATCGATTGACCAAGTCAACACATGTCATACCTATTCAATCTGATTTTTCTACAAAAAAAGTATGTTGAACTGATATGAACTCAAAGATCGGAGTGTTGTTGGTCCGGATTTGATTCAAGATGTAGAAGAGAAAGTTCGAGAGATTCAACATAATCTCAAAGTGACATCCGATAGACATAAGTTATATGTTGATCTTAAGGATATTCTTAAACAATACACCCATCTCTTTGTGCAATGAAAATTCGAGGATGAATTTTCTTAAGGGGGAGAGATTTGTAACATCCCAAAAAGTGAGCCAATGACTAAAATGCAAATTTTGAAAGTTTGAGGATCAAAGTAGAAAATTGGGAAAAGTTTAAAAAACTAAATGGTATTTTTCCCAAAAAGAATTTTATTCCATAAAGAGATTTAGTTTAGTGACCAAATTATAAGATTTTGAAAGTTTGGTGACCAAAGTATAAACTTTAAAAAGTTTAGGGACCAAAATGGTAATTTTAAAAAGTTGTTGGTTTCGAAAATAAGAAAATAAATATATTATTTTCACACATTTTTAAAATGTTGGAAAATAATATTTAATGGTTTAGTTCCATGTTTAATTTGGAATGTTGAATTAAAGTGACAAAATTGTAAGTTTTGTAAATTTCAAGGGTAAAATGGTAAAATGGGAAAATATTTTGTTCATCTTTGACTATTGGAAGATGATAAAGTTGTTGTGGCTTGGTATTAATGTAAATATCAAGTTTTCAAGGGTAAATTGGTAATTTAGTATTTAATGAGTTTTTAATTCATTAAATATTAAAAAAGATGAAGAATTATCAAAACTTCTTCATCTTCTCCAGTAGTAAGACATGAGTTCTCTCAAAAGGTAAGAAAAATATTTCTTTTCCATTTTTGAGTAATTTTCTTTGGATTTCGGGTTATGCTGTGAAATAGAAAATTGTTCTACGCGAAAAACGTTATCATTTGGTACCAATATTTCTTTCTAATATTGCTGGATTTCAAAGATCCTAAATCTAAGGGTTTATGTTCATGATAGGATTCATGAAATTGATAATAAATCTTGATGATTTAGAGGTTGTAGATTCATTCTCAAGCTTGATTTATGGTTAAAACATGTTCAATCTTTCTAGAAATTATTCTTTGAAAATTTGGACACGATGTATTTAAGTGAGAAAAATTATGGAAAAATTATATAAGGTCTGAAAATGATGTAGGAAGTATTCTACAAGCCTTATAAAATTCAAGGACCATTCTATAATTTTTGAAAAGTTGGGGAACCAATTCGTTAATTTTGTAAAAGTTGTGGATGGTTGTATAATTGTTTAATAGTTGATGAACTATGTTGGAAATTTATGTTTTGGGATTAAAATGAGCATTTAGATGTGAAATATGATCATTTTGGAAGTTTGAAAAGATTGGTGATTTAAGTGCAACATTAACATAGTTGGGGTGTTTAAAGGTAATTATACCTTTGTAAAAGTAATTGTTGGTAATAATTCCAATACTGAAATTTCTGGAATTTTTGGTATTTGAAATATAAGTGATAAAATGGTGAATGACCATTTTGTGTAAATTGGAAAAGTTTATGCCAATATTAAAAGGAATTAATAAGTGTTGAGTATTTTGATAGAAAATGAGTTTCAAGTATCTTATAGATTTTGTATTGGAGATGTGTTTATGTTAGTACAATACTAACATATGTATCGTTATGAAATTGTGATTTGTACAGATCGTGATTGATTCGTAACTAAGACAAGTCAAATATAAAAGGATTGTTGTGGATTATAGTGAGGAACATCTTGTGGATATAAAAAGTGTCAAGGTAAGTGCAAATTTAATTTGTACCTATGTTATAGAATAAGCATTGGTTTGCGATGAGCCAGTGACGGAGTTACTATGGTAAGAAGTGACTCCTAAAATGTTATTTGAATTGTGATGCATGCATAACATTATATATGGATGTTTTATACATCATTGGGTAGGATTTGCGATAAGTCTATTTTCCATGTTTGAATGCATGATTCCATAAGCACAAGCATGTGATTGATATGATACTTATATTTGCATGAGTACATGAAAATGGATATATGTGTCATATGTTTTTATATGTGACATGATTTACATGATTTCATGTATATGCGATATGTGATACTGAACTACATGAATATATGAAAAATACGATATGTTATTCTATGTGGTATATTATGTATATATGAACATATGTGAGCAAGATATGACATATATGTTTATATGAACACATGAGAAATGATATAAGCTATATGATACGATCTACATGATTACATGCACATGTGACATATGTGATATAATATGAACCTATGTGATATGGGTTATATGAAAAGGGATCTATGAGATCATACAAGAATGTTATACAATGATCTATGAGATCATACAAGAATGATACAAATGATGTGAATTGTTATAAATGATAATGCCCATGATATGTGATATGAGAGCTAGGGGTATAGTTGGCATGCCAAGAGTCGAGGGTTACATATGTCCTTCGGGATATAAGATAGGTCCTTCGGGACACAGATGACATCCTTCGGGATGATAGGTCATTCAAGACACATATGACATCCTTCGGGATGATAGGTCCTTCGGGACACAATTTCACATGCCACACAGTGGATTTTTATACGAGCTGTAGTGACAACATATGTGTGCACAACCTCAGTGTACTTGCATACTTTGAGTTCTTAGTAATGTACATGGGCTTATAAAAGATATCAAAAGTGTTTGCATTATTATATGATATCATGTTATTATTGTTTATACTGAATCAATAATGTACATGGACTTATAAAAGTTATCATAAGTGTTTGCATTATTATATATACCATGTTATTATTGTTTACACTGAATCATTACTGTACATGGGCTTACAAAAGATATCAAAAGTATACATGGGCTAGTAAAAAAGATAGCATAAATACATTGTATGTGATGTATATGCTTAGTTATATGAAATACATTACAAGATTTATATGTGATACTGTGTATATTGTTTGGTGAAATGTATTATATGATATGTTACAAAGGTTAAGTACAAGATGACATGTTTTAAATGGGTTCATAATAATGATATTGATATTGAGAATGATAGAGATCATGATAACGATATTGATGTTGATAATTATGGTATTTATGCATGTATACATTTTGTTATATGAAATGTTCTGTGGTTTCTATTATATCCTTTATATGCCTCACTAAGTCAACGACTTAGCGTGTGATTGTTTCACACGTAGATTCCGGGAAGAAGAAGAATGATAAAAGTTAAGCAAGACAGGTCAGTTTCTCCTTTCCAAAGATCAGATCAGATCAGAAAAGAATTGAATGTTATGTATTTTGTAATAATGATTGTGTCGGCATGTAATTAAAGCTTTAAACCGTTTATGCGCTAATAAGTGTTATAAACCGTTTTGAATAATTTATGTAAATTATTCAGTTGTATTTGGTGAAAGTTTAAAATTATTCACTATTTTGTACAAGTAAATGTTTTGAAAAGTCAATGTGACACCTTAGACTTGTAGCCGAGTCGAGTACGAGTTGAGGGTGTTACAGCAGGTTTCCAAGGCAAACCAAACTCTTCAATTCTGTCTGCATCATGGGTTAACTACCTTTGCAGAAAAATAATACTAAACCAGGAGAATTCCTCTAGCTGGAATTCAACATCATTATACCATCTTCAAATCTACTCCGCAGCTGCGTCTCTACTGTTAATCCTTCGTCTGTTGAGGCCTCCGGAAGCTTCTCCGATATCTTCCGAATGATTACAATTCCTTGGTCCCTGAAGCTCCAAAGAAGTATCTGGAATCCAATATCCTCTAGATGACTATGGTCCTTTGACATGACCACTAACTGGCCTACGTGATCTGTTAAAATCAAATCCTACATCCTACAACAATAACTACAAATTCTACTAGCACACGAATAGCCTTCATAACTCTAGCCATAACACCAAACATTGAGAGTCGGTATATAAGCATCATACATGGCTGAATGGATGGTGTTGGACTCTTCCTTTCCCATGATCTCTCTTCACACACCGTAGGTCATCTCCTACAGCCCATCAAAACCACTGACCGTGGCTCTTCGCCCAAATTATAAGGAATGAACCACCTACGGCCGTCGCAACCCAAATTTTACCATCAACAAATATCAATGACTCCGAAGGGATTTACAGTTAATATACGTGGTAAAGAAACAATATCAATGATCCATGAATCACTAAAGAGCTTGTAGTTCGCAGATTTGCTGCAGAACTCACCATTAATGTTCTCGAGATAATTCCCTTAACTATGTTCATGCTCTCTCAGCGTTTCATGGATTCAATCATTATAGTAATAAGAAACAAGTTTCAACTTTCTCAGAAAATTGTACCAAACTGAGAAAACAGATTAATTGATGTTGTAATCAAAAGGGGTAGAGCACACGAAAATTTGTTTATTTGTTCTTCTGCGAATGGGACTTAAGTTGTACAAGAAAACTGTGGTACAAAATTTCTCTGTCTAACCAGCCGATGGAGATCATGTACAATCTTGAACACTGCATCAGGCCTAGCCAGCCTTAAAGCATTTTCAGACATGGACTTGAGTTCATCTGCTTTGGGGCCAAACCACTGTCGTACGATATTGGCTATCTCTTTCGGTGACTTTGAAAATTTCCCGCATCCATTTTCCAACACATACGGGACATTGCCGACTTCCTGCAAAAAAGCAAAACCAAGCTTATAACTTCTTTGGCAAAAGTTAAAAGGCCCCGTCGCAAGATTCTTTTGCACCGCTCACATCGACCGTCTAATCCCATATTGTTTCATAACCCAAAACTGGGAATTATTTGACTGTTAGTACTTGCTGCGTGAAATCCTTAGGGTGCATGGAAAAAAAAAGAAGAAAATTTGAATTTCACTTTAGCCTAGTTTAGCTATATAATGTGGTCAACTTACTAATTTATTATGTTTGACAAATTAGGGAAACTCGTATTAAGAAAGACTATGAACAGAAGTACAATATTTAGCCAGATGAAACATCGTCACGATTATGATTATAAAATAAAGCTAGAATCCAGTAAAAGTATTGAAGTTCCCTCCTGGAAGCAATCTATATCGAATCTACTTCGGAAAGCTCACATGTAAAAAGTGAAAAAGAGAGCGGACAACTTACCTGCCCGGCGATGAAACCGTTCAAAATGATGGGAAGACCTCGAATCATAGCCTCAGCAATAGTCCCAGGGCCCGCCTGTTGAAGCAAAAGTCATGCAATAATAAGAAATGTATTACATGCATCCGTGCATTATGTCTTCCATTTAAAAAGTTACCTTCGTGATAATACAGTCGCAAGATCCCATGCATTCCTCCATTTTGGTGACAAATCCCTTCACCTATAAGGTTTTGCAAAATTCCAGAACAATCAGTTGCCTGCATAAACCTTTTCCCCTAAATCATAATGTTAATAATATCGTTCGGCGTGTTTAATGCATATATGCGATAGAAATTTGTCAGAACATAGAATCAGACTATCACAAGTCTTCTCATGGTACTTGAAAAAGGCATCTGGATAGGAATTATACATAGAAAACTTAGCTGTGCAAAGTTACTTGGGATTAAAACATCAAAGAAAAGTCGATACCTGGACGGGAATTTTCCAATCGATTGCCTGCAATTTGCTAGCAAGTTTTTTGTTGCGGCCACAAATGACAAGGATTTGACCTAATGGCTCGCCAAGGCTCTCGTCGTATAATGCATTTCCAAGCGCACGGGCAGTAGCCTCGATGGGTCCCATTCCTTCCCCTCCTCCCATCAACAAAACAGCAGGAAGATACACATCCATTCCTAATTCTCTCCTAAGATCAATCTACATTATCAAAATATCAAAATTGTCAGTGTCGGCGGATCCGATAAGACAATGGAAGATGAAAAGAGATATCAACGGAGATATTAAAGCTAAACATTATTGTTATAACACATGAAAAGAACAAGTGGTGTTACAAAAACCAGCAAAAAGAACAAGAAAAATTGCAGAATCTGAATACGATGAACTTGTTGCATCAAGACTTCCCTGTGTGCAAAAGTTTGGGACAATAGTTTTCATAGAATAAAATCGTCCTAGAGAAACGAGAATATAAACTCATTAGTTTAAAACGTAAGCCAACCTTTGGTCGAACAGGCTTCACAAAAGAAGGTCGTATTGGAAGGCCATAGACCTTTATTTGGGATGGTTGGAGTCCGGCTTTCAATGCCCTTTTGGCAACATCATCTGTTGGGCAATAGCATCTTGTTACAAGCTTATGAAACCTAAAAAAAGAATAAACATAACAAAAATTACACTGAGAATAAGCGGATTTCGAAGCATGAAAACTAAGATGCAGAACTAACCATGTCGGATGGCAAGTGCTTAAATCGGTGACCACCGTGGTGAAGACTATCTTGTTCAATAGACCCTTTGCCTTGAGAATACGAAGTGGCACATGTTGCATCAGAGGGTGTACACTAATAATAATGTCAGGCTGGTATTTCATCAACCCTTTGGCAACCTCTCTATCATAAGAATATAGAATAAACGAAGCACATTCGCGTTAGAGGAATGGAGATTGAACTAATTTATGGCAGGGCTGAGATACTATATTCCGATTCATTCGCATATCGACAATAGAATATGAAGACAATAAAAAAAGCGATCGACAATAGATTCTCACCTAGCTATGAATGTTGAAGTTGCAGCGAAATTCGATTGATAAATCACCCGAGGAGCACTTCCATAATAAGTTAACCTCCACAATGATCCATGTTTGACCAAGAAGTTATAGCTCTTTGGTAATTGATTAAATGGCCAGGGCGTATGATCGGTCCACAAATCTGTAACAAACACCTGCAATTTGCCACTCTTAACATATAGAGCAAAGGTAAGCAGAAAACAATACGCTCCCACTAATCCTTTTACTAGGGATGAGCAAAATTCGACTAAACTTGGAAAAAACAAATTTTTCAATTCAATTTGATGCTAAAAAAACTCGACTTGACATACTCTTAATTTCACAAACTCAACGCAAACAATTTCAAATTGAGTCAAGTTATGAAATAGAACTCAAAACTTTTAGTTATTAGTGAATTGGTTTTCAATTTCGAGGACATTGCATGATATATTTACTATTAAACTTAAATGTAAATTCAAACAACTTGGTTAGATTCTACTCCAATTATTTAAACTTGACTAAAAAAATTCAAATAAAATTTGAGTTACAAAATAGATGCTTCAACTTAAATAACTAAAAAAAAATTACTCACTCAATCGGATACTCACTCCTACCTTTTTACCATTTGCCAAGAAATTGAAGAAACATAAAACGGCAACCAAAATTGAAAAAATGCGTTCTTTCATGTAGTCCAGTTAGTCAAACCAAAACTAACACTGCAAGTAGTGATAAAAGAAGCAAATTTTCTTAATCTGTAACTTTTTCCAATGCCCGCATTTTCTTAGATACCAAACAAAAGTTAGCTGACCTGATACTCGTCCCCAAATTCCTCGTTAAAAGCAGCCTTAATAGCTTCAGCGGAGGCTCTATGACCCCCACCAGTATCACTCATCAAAATCAGAACCTTTTTGGGGGTCTCGGCTTCCACCCCATTCAAAGGCAAACCTTCAACCTCAAGAACGCCGCCGCGACCGCCGTCTTGTCTCATTGCATCGCTATCCTCTGAGCCAACCCGAATCGAAGCAAAGCCAATTGGGATTCTACCACAGTGAAACTTAATCGCTCTATTGAACTCATTCATGATTCTCCTAACGCTGTTTTTAGCACCCAAACCGAGTGAAGCAGCAGCTGTAACGATGCGCTTCTTGTGAGAAACTGAGTCTCGGAACCCAGAAAAACACACGTGATTCGGCTTGAATGAATAAAACCCATCAGAATTTAAGCTGTGAAAACTCTTGTTGAATGCTAAGTGACTCAGTTGAGTGACGAGATCGAAGGCAGGGCCCGAATCTTGGGTAACCGCAGAGGAGCTTTTCATTTTGAATAAAGGTTTTTATTTTGTTATCTAAGTGTCGGATGAGAAGGAAGTTCAAACAATTCAATTTAATCCATGAAAGTAGTCGTTATCAAAAATAAGAAACAAATTTCGTTTACTTCAAAGAGTGAAAGAGAATGAGCGAAGACGCGAAAAAGAAGGTGAAAATGAGGAGAAATCTAGCGACTCTTTTTCTAGCCACATATCATGGTAGTGAGTATACACCCAGAAAATGCTTTATTCATCCCCTCTCTATCCGATATAAAAATAAGGTAAATTCTTTTCTAGGTAACTAAACTATGGATACAATTCTATTCTGATCATTAAATTAAAATTTATCAAAAAAAATGTAAATCATTTATTTTTAGAGTAAACTACACATTTAGTACTCTAACTATAACTTTTGTTTCATTTTGTTCTTCTAACTATTTTTTTTTCAAAATCATACCTAACGTTTAGTTTTTTATTTCATTTTGATCATCCGTCGTTAAAAAATTGAAGGTGATACTAACGTGTCACCATAAGATAATGCAATGCCATCATTGAAAATAAATTAAAAATATCACATCAACAGTTCTTTTATTTTTTAACGATGGGTGATCAAAACACAACGTTAGGTGTAATTTTGAAAAAACAGTTGGGTGACCAAAATATAACAAAAGGTGATGGTTAGAATACTAAACATATAGTTTACCTAAAAAATAACAATGATATTGACGTGTCATCATAAGGTAATGTCACGCCATTATTATAAAAACTAAAAAATATCACATCAATAGTTCTATTATTTTTTTAGCGGTGGATGATCAAAATTAAATTAAAAAAATATAACATTATGTATGATTTTTTAAAAAATAGTTGGGTGACCTAAACATAACAAAAGTGATAGTTGAGATACTAAACTTAAATTTACCTTTTTAATTAAGATAATAACATATTTAATTCTCATTAAATGTACATTACATTAATTTACTCCTAATTTTTTTATTAAGTTGTGGTGATTACAAAGTAGTATTTATTCTAAATACTCTCAACTATTTGATAATAAACGCTCAATCACCTTATTGTAATTGTTGGTGCTCGAATCCATAACATTTTTAACTATTGAAGTAAATTGATTCGTGCTAATTTACTCCTTATTTTAATTAAAAATAATTCATCCAATAAATCAAATGCATGCCTAACCATAATTTACTTATATCTAATCCTTATTATAATTTACTCCTCAATTTTACAACAACGCTTCTATCTCATATCCATGTACTATAATACTTGGATTTTGAATTCGTTAAAATAATATTGTTTCGTATTAAATAATTAGGTTATACATTATATTGATTATTGAGGTTGATTGAATTATTTTTACATTGAAAATGGCTTCTAAGGGTATAGATAAATATATTTTTCTCGAATACTTTTTATACTCTATGTTTAAAACTGACGACTGGTTTTTCTAACAATGGCGTCATTAAAATTGTCAAACTTATTATTATTTTTTTTAAGAATTGTAATATGTCCCATCATTCTATCCAACATTTATCGATAATATGAAATTGAAAATTTTCTTTTTGATTCATTTTAAAGGCAAACGAAATTTAGAAAATTATCGTATCTAATTTTTTTCCTTTTTTTTAATTGAAGAGATTGAAAATAAATAAGGTTAATTTTTCATCAAATTTGTAGACATTTATTTTCCTAAGGGATTTATTTTGAATTTTGATCTTATTTTATTATTTTAGTATTATGAAATATAGTTTTAAAATATATGTATTTTAAAATATATGTGTAGTTTTTAATATATATATATATATATATAATGTTATATTATATATATAGTTTATTATATTATTATTGTATTAATATTAATATTTTATTTTTTTCAGGTGCAATCCAATCCAGTTTCAATTCCATTAACCAAGTCAAGGTCCAAAGAGTGCAAGCTCCGAAGTCCAAGTCTAAGTTCTAAGTTTGGTTCGTGAAAAGCAAAGGTTAAAATCCAATAGATGGACCCACTTGACCCAGTATGCCAATCTGTCAAGCCCAAAGTCTAAGTCATAATTCAAATCCTAGGCCATCAAGTTTGCATGAACTAGCAAGCAAGTAGGAAGGCCCGACTAAGCATACAAGCCTTAATGGGAGCCCGTCTACTTAACTCAGCAGAAGTGTCCCAACTGGTTACAGGGTTTTATCATTAACCCTTAGTGTTTAACAAAATTTGTAGCTGTCAGATCAAGGTATAAACTAAGGGCCTAGATTGAAACAAACATAAGGTTTCAAACCCTAAGAGTTATGGGATATACACAACCAAACAAGAGTCGTTGGATCTGCCTAATGATCTAATGGCTTGAAATAATTACAAAATATTCAAGAAATACCAAAGGTCATCAGCAGATCGGTTATCGATGCGTGAAAGCCACACACCAGCAAAAAAAGGAAATAAATCATCTTTTCGATGACTTTGCCCAATTTCAGGAAAGAATATCTTCCCAAAACACGTAAGATTGAATACTAAAGGAAACAATCACTAAGTCAACCTAATGAAAATCAAATCAAATCAAAAGTCAGGCATTAACAAGCAGATCGAGTAAGAAAGGCAACCAATATCAACACAAATCAACAAACAGAATAACAAAGATCGAATCCCATATCAAACCGAGAATAAAATATGTACTTTGCTTAGTCAAAGCAAATCAAAGTGAAAAAAGGGAAACAAATCCCCAAGTCACAGCGGTTCTAGGGGTTCGTATTCCTCTAATTGGAAATCTCTCGAAGCCCATATAAATCCTGCAAGGAAAAAAGAAACGACATCAACAACCAAGCAATTTCGAGCATAAAAAAATACACTAAAAATGAGAGAAGTGAGATTGTGTTACTTAGCTTGTGTTTTGTTTATCGTTAGAGGAAAGAGTGATAATAAAAAGTTGAAGAACACTCGGGAACTCGAATATTCACCAGAATCGAAGGTAAACGATGAGCCTTCTCCCTTAGATCTAAGCCGAGAGAGAGGTCTTTTGGTGATTTGATTGGCAGGTCTTAGTTCGTGATGTAAAGAGGGATCATTTGGGCTAATGGGTAAGGCTCCAGTCACCATGGGCGATGGCCGGAGCGATGCTCCGGGCGGTGTAGCATCGTCGGGTATAAGCCAATGGGGTGAGGGATTTTGAGGGAGTATAGAGTATTTGTGTGAGTTTTTAGGGATGAATGGAAATGAAATAAAAAAGGAGGGTAAAAGCCTATTTATAGTGAGGACCAATGTGTAAGTAGAAAAATCTTAAATTCTTTTCGCAGACTTTGTACTTTTGAAGTGTAATTAGATTTGGTCTCATATTGTTATTTGACTACCTGATTTTACATTCGATGAAATTTGATCCCTAAATTTATTTATTTTTTATTTTAAATTGGTACCTTGACGTTTTTGTTGTTTTTGCAACATTTAGGTACTTATTTTTATTTTATTATTTTTTGTCAATTTTATTTCTTTTAAAGGAACCCGTCTAAATATCAAACTTCGTTAAGGGTAATTAATATAGATTGAACTTTTCTTAAATTTTTATTGAAATTTTATTTTTCGTAATTAAGATAATTGAGTAATCGAATGGTACCAAAAGGGCAATTCGAGGGTGCTCATCATTCCTCGATTTTAAACGAATTCTGAATCCGACAAATTTATGGTAAGACGAAGATCCAGTCAAATGGTAAGTTCTATGTATCTGATCCACCTAATTTGAAAGTGATCAGTGGCAACTCCATCACACAATCCAAGTCGAGACGTGAACCTGGAACCCTGAAGGACTGTTGCAAAAGCTTGATGACTCTGTTGGGAACACAAGAGAGTTAGGCTAAAAATTCGATGACCGGTTATCTTTTTAAGTAAAAATTTTAAGTTTAGATTTTTAATTTATGTTCGATCCTTTTAGTTACCTTTGATTGGTTTTTAAAATAAATAGTTGGACTAACTATTTTCTAATGATTTTAGTTTAAAAAAAGGACTTGCATCTTAAGCTCTATACTTGAGATCCAAACCCATTTAAGTGGGGAGAAAGCGACGCCTTCATGGGAATCTATTCTCCGTATCAGGCCTAGCAATTAGCCTTCGAAATTCATATACCTTATGTCTTCGTAGGAATTTATTCCTTGTGTCAGACATAAGGGAATATGTCCTCTCAAGTTTAACTTGGTCTGTATAAGCCTGTGATGGGTTTAGGATCGAGGGTCTGGCAGGCCTAAGGGGGCATCGACAAAGGAAACTCGAGTCCCTTTTATAGAACTAAACTTTGTTTTGGTACGAGATTACAACCTATCCCAAAACCACATGTAAACCCTAGGATGATTGTTTATTTATTCTAAGTATGTGAACTTGAGATTGACGTGCTTAGGTTATTTTCTGTAGAAAAACATACGGGATAGAAAATCATTATTGGGTAGGAATTGTTATAATGTTTGTCTTAATTATTAATTCAACGTACTGACTTATTTTTTCTTTTATTTTTCCTTTCTATTTATTATCATCTGCATCATTTCATAGAGCATTTGATCCGCAAAATGTTTGTCAAACTCTGAATAGTTTTTATTAATGGACAAAGTAGTTGTGATGCAAGAGGTCAAAAATGAGAAAGTATAACTATGATCTGAGAAGACTTAGAAGGAGAAAAGGGTACAGTCTTTCAGATAACTATGTGTCAGAGTTAGCAGATTATGCTTCAATTAGCCTCAAATACAATGACGTCCAAGAACTATAGAACATATAGGAAAGTTGGAAGGACAAGAGAAGAAAAAAGCTTTACCAATGTTATGGCAACATTGCATACCTACTCTATGTTAAGGTAGATAAACCTTTGCTCCAGGCACTAGTCTAATTCTGGAATCTGGGGTACAACTGTTTCACTTTCGACAAAGAAGATATGGTGTCCACGATAGAAGAGTACACAACTCTGTTACACTTCATAGGAATCCGAATAGATCGAATCTTTATCAAAATCATCAATAGTCCACCTCTAAAAAATAGACTAACAAAGATTGAATGAGTAGATGAAAAGTGCATGGTTGACCGAATCAAGCACAACGGTGA